AAGTAAACTGACTGTAGAAATGTTATAGATGTCGCGCGTGCACACACACACACAAAACTTCGGCATGTGCATGACGTCACTTAGAGACCTTTTCTTCTAACAAAACTTCGACCTATACCCCCCCCCCCCCCACACACACCGTACTTTTATCATTTGTTTATTTATTTTTCTTGGTTTTGGGGTAGCACCGACTCGTCATAAATCTAATCAGACTAACTCGGGAAGGTGTGAACCCAATTCCATCGCTGAACGATCAGTTTGATTACCAAAATTAACCCTATTTTTCCAAAACAAAATTGCCATGTTTACTGTTCCTATATAAAAAGTGGGTAGTTTGTTTTAAAGGTTTCTTAATTTGTATTTTTCACACTTTTTTTTTCAAATGTTAAATAACGGTTCATTATAATTATTTTATGAATATCTTTTCATTCTTTTTTGCAATAAGATTACTGACTTTTTTGATTGCATGAGATTTTTTTAAAATTTATCCTGTAATGTTTAAGGTCCTAATGTATTTTTATTTTGTTTTAATGTTAATGTTTGTTTCGTTGTAGTATGTAGGCAGTTTCTTAGTGGCCGGAAGTGACCAAGCATCACGTGCTGAGTTTGTCCGGATTCAGCTCGAGAACATGAGGGTGAGTAACATAATTCAGGGGGTTAGTAACATAACTCGGGTGTCCTTTCTATAACTTTTGAATAACTAACATACCGCTTTGCCCCTAATTGACGTTCTCGGGGGCGTTGCAAACTGCAAAGGGGGTACTGATTTTTTACATGTGATTTGTTGATTTCAATGTTAATAAGTGTGTGCGTGTGTGTGTTCGTTTTTCTTTTTTTTTGCAAATCAAAATTACTGTAATAAAAGTTGATTATGTTGGATTACAGTAGAGGGGGGGGGGTCGATAATTAGAGAGGTGGCTTTAATTAGGGGCGATACGGTACATGTTTTATTTTCTGCTTTAAATTAAGTTTTGTAAGAATCCTGAATCATTTTGTCAAGTTCTGTTTTAAAGAATTTCTGTTATTTTTGTTTGTAGGGGGAAGGTGGGTTAAACTTGGTTTATCTGGACTTAAAGAACACAAGTTCTGTTTTAAAGAATTTCTGTTATTTTTGTTTGTAGGGTGAAGGTGGGTTAAACTTGGTTTATCTGGACTTAAAGAACACAAGTTCTGTTTTAAAGAATTTCTGTCATTTTTGTTTGTAGGGGGAAGGTGGGTTAAACTTGGTTTATCTGGACTATAAGAACACAAGTTCTGTTTTTCTAGTTTTAGTTGTGATGTCTTTATAAAGTTAACTTTTTCCTGAAAAGCGTTTGGAGAAATTCTTTTAGAAGTTACGCACTTTAAGTAAGACGACAGTATTTTTGTAAACAGTGTTTTATACGATATGAATAACGTGTGATATTAGTAACTGTCAGAACTATTGGTGGGAATTTGATGCTTCTCGAAACTTTAGGGGACGATCTTGCTGGTCACGTGGTTTTGTGGGAATTGGAAACTTGTGAAACTATTTGTTATTGGTTCCGAAACGTGGTATACAGAACACCGGTTTCCTTATTCGTTAAAGAAAAAAAAAAAACGTTCCCACCAATAACCAAGTTAATTAATTCCTTTCGTGAAATTGAAGTCTGCTGCTGTATACACTTTAGAATTCAGTTTCTAATTTTTTTTTATATTAATTACTTAGTCAAAAAAATATTGTACATGTACACGTCCGTGAATATATTGTGTGAATGTTTCTTTGTGATTAAATTTTGAACAAAGATTAATTGTTGTATTTATAATTGTAGCTAACAGTTGTCGGACATTTCATTATTATCGAAACAACCGGATTACTGCCGACTGAATCTTATCAGCTGGTTTTCGCGAAAGTGAGGAGAGCACGTGACTCGCGGTGTTTCTCCTGATAATCGAAGGTTGCCAGCGCCACCTATCCAGCTTGTATTTAAACCATCTTTTAATATCACGCTTACTTTGTTTATGAACTTAAAATTATCATATCGGCACAGCTGGTTTTGGCTTAGTAGTTCGCGTGCTAGGCTGCTGACTAGAAGGTTCTCGCCGAGATGATGCTGCTGAACTGAACACGTTATGCACTTTTAGTTGTGAGTGCACAGTAAGAATGAGAGTCAAACTTATTATTCCGTTCAAAGCCAGGCCAAACTTTTGTGGCGGAAGGTGCTGCCGACTGGCTCCCTTCTTTTTAATCAACAATTTAAAATCAAGAACTACTATAGCTGAAACCTAGGGAGGAGGGGAGGGCTCTGATCTGTCCATTCAGATTAAAAATTATTTTATACAGTGGCTCACTGTTTAAAAATGAAATAACGTTGTTTGATAGGATGTATACTTGTTAATGTACTGTAAGCAGACTGCCACTGTACATTTTGAAATTTTCGTAATGATCATACACCTACCATATACGACTAAGCCTAAGTCATTTTAGTTTAATTAAAAATCGTCACTTTGTGGGATGATGAACTTTATAAAAAAATAAAAAAAAATAGGAGGGTTCTCTTTATTATATAATTAAGTAAAATGTTTATAGCATTTTCAAGCACTAACTTCCAGGAGAGAGGTGTTTTGTTGTTGTTGGTAAGCGCAAAACAACACGATGGCTTATCTAGGCTGTGTGCTCACCGCAAGTATCGAAACCTGAATTTTAGCGTTACATTCCTCAGTTACATGTTTTCATCACTTGGGTAAAATGGCGTTAGTAAATTTAGTTAAATAAGTCTTAAACATTTCGTATGTTAGCAGGATATACCTGTTGCTTCTAGCAGATCATAACCTTGTCTCGTAGATACAGGCTGTTGTTGAAGAGGTAAACCGGGCGTCGTGTCGGTTGACGAAACGCTTAAAATTGGAGAAACTGTAAGAGTTGTTAATACAACTACTTGTCATTTTCACATCAAAAGTTAACAATCAAGGACGGCTTAACTTTATAAAGGTATCTGAGCTGACCATTCGGGTAATTCCACTTGGACAGCATTTAAAAACGATGAGGATCAGAAAAAAAAACAAAATTACACGCACCTGTAACGTGCTTGTAAAACAACGCTCCCCGAATCTTTCTTTCAGTTCAGTTTGACCTTTGATAACCTTTCCCATTCTTCTCTTTGTTTAATTGTCCGAGGCGTCTTTCTTCTTTTCAATACATTCTTTCATGTATTTTATTCTGAAATTTGTGAGCTTATCGTCGACTTTTGTCAGTTTTGTAATTTATTCACACGTAAAACAAGGCTTAATAATACTTTGTAAAAAAAAAACTAAAAAATGAAGCAAAATTATAAAAACGTGGAATTCTGGAAGCTGCGAATTTAGGTGTGTGCGTGGTGTGTGTGTATATATATATATATATATAAACAACAACTTCAAAGCATCTGTGTACATTCTTGTTCTGGTCACATTGGTATAATGAAACGACGCGCCCACCAACTCGTTTTAGTGAAACGCAAGAACATGCCGCCCGAGTTGACCATTCATCACCGTGGGGGTCATTGCAATTGACCCTTTCTAGCGTCTGATTAGGTTCGTGGTCAGGGAAGGAGCTGTAAAGCTAGTTACTGCACCTTCGAAGTTTGTGATTATCTTTTTTTTTTATTTTTAGAATAAAGTATGGACGTGTTTCTATTGGCTATTTTATTTTTATCCTATCCGGGCATGCGTTATATGTATATAATATTTAGTGACTGCCCATGTTATGCTGCCGGGATAATAGAGCGGCAAGAGGTCACAAGGGCCGGGAAATACGATCTACGTGCAGGATAGTAGTTTGGCAGTAGTTGGTGTGCACGAGATTGAGTTTCTTGGAGTTCTCAATAGTCCATACGTTTTGAAACACCCTAGATACGATCCGCCGTCATGATGTTAGGGGTCATCTGATTATCTTTAATATAATTCCAATTTATAATATTAATGGATCACTTATTTTCTTTATTGTTATTTTATCCTGCACCCGCCAAACATGGATTTAATCTTCCTTCATCATAACGGTAACCTGTGTGTACAGGGCGTCGAAATTGCCGCCCCGTACGTCGAGCTTATCTTTTATCAAAACATAAGCCTATTCCTTGTAAGAGGCCCCCCCAGTGGCACAGCGGTATGTCTGCGGACTTACAACGCTAGAATCCGGGTTTCGATACCCGCGGTGGGAAGAGCACAGATAGCCCATTGTGTAGCTTTGTGCTTAATTTCAAACAAACAAACAAACAATCCTTGTAAGAAGACTCGAACCTCTATACCAGACTACTATTCACGATGAAGTAACTATCTATGAAACAGTTAATTTAGGAATAAATAGGTATTTTCTACGCTTCTAATGAAAATGGTATATTTAATTTAGGATTTTTACTATTTACTCATTAGTCGGTTAAAATGTCAGGGGGTAAATACTCAAGGTGCTTTGAGTATGGTAATCATTGCTGTTTTGTTTCAGCAATTATAATTACTGTTTGATCGCTATTATTGCAGTTCAGGTGTTTCACAATATTAATCATTGTTCTTTTTTCTTTAGCATTCTTAATAATTGTTCAGTTATTCGGGAATTTGTATTCACAGTTTCACTAATTGTTAATCACCATACGTTTACTTTTGTTCTTGTTAATTGTTTTCCTCTTTTTCAACACTGATAATCCCATTCAGGATGTTTTAGTACTGTTTAGAATTGTTGGACTGTTTTTAGTACTGTTTAGAATTGTTGGACTGTTTTTAGTACTGTTTAGAATTGTTGGACTGTTTTTAGTACTGTTTAGAATTGTTGGACTGTTTTTAGTTCTGTTTAGAATTGTTGGACTGTTTTTAGTTCTGTTTAGAATTGTTGGACTGTTTTTAGTTACTGTTTAGAATTGTTGGACTGTTTTTAGCTCTGTTTAGAATTGTTGGACTGTTTTTAGCTCTGTTACTCACTGTTCAGCTGTTGAAATATTGAGACTGTTCAGGTTTTTGGTAATGGCGTTTCCATCATATTTCAAACGTTCTCAGGATAAATATGAAATCAAGTTTATTCAGTTTACCATTATGTCACCGAGTCGCACCGGTATCATGTAGCTTCACCCTTCATTAGTAGCCCTGTGTTTTGTTTGTTTTTAGAACAAAGCCACATTCGACCATCTGCTGTGTCCACCACGGGGGAATCGAACCCCAGATTTTAGCGTAAAGTAACCGTTTTTCTCATCGGGCGATTTATAGTATGTTAATCAGCTTGTCTGCTGAATAACTTTGAACAGACTAGTAGCATCAATGCAAATTTTTCAAATCTTGTACAACTATAGGTTCACCTAGTAGGTGTTTAGGTTACTGGTAAACTGGTACGGTAATACGACCGTGACAATTGAAAAACAACAACAACATAATTTAGCATTTGATATATCAAAGTTGTAAGTAATAATACACACACACACACACACACACACACACACACACACACACACACACACAGACAGACAGACAGACAGACAGACAGACAGACAGACAGAGAGACAGACAGACAGACAGACAGACAGAGAGACAGACAGAGAGACAGAGAGACAGACAGAGAGACAGACAGACAGAGAGACAGACAGACAGACAGACAGAGAGAGAGAGAGAGAGAGAGAGTAG